ACTTAAGGCGCCTCACACAGATTAACATTAGCCAGTTTTTAAGATAATATATATATACATAATAAATGTAAAACAATATAGGTGTACGTATCTTACGTACGTACGTACGTACGTACGTACGTACGTATTAAAACTTTGAATCTAAGATATCTTATAAACTAAATTAAAATTAAAGTTTTTGATAAATCAGATACTTTGGTTACATGATCCATTTTCAAGCTTAGTACATCATTGTACAACAAATATGCATTTGTCTTCTATTCTTCGCAAATATCACAAAAATTGAGTGACAAAAATGTGATTTTTGATTGTACGTATATAAAAGGTCTTATTGGCCAGTAGCAGTGTTTCGTCAAAGTAACGTTTCATTAAATAAAACGTGTGAATTTACAAAACACCAAAAAATCTTCGATTGCCCCTTCTTTTGAATTAGCACAATCTATTTTGTCCAGAAGCCGCAATGGCGAGTAGAAAACTACAAAGTAAGTATTGGGAGGAACCCATGTTCAAGGATCAAATTAAAGTGTGAATTATTGTTGGCACGAAGAGTTCGCGTCCATTCCTTTATCTAATCTGGTATTCATTTTCCTGAAATGTCGAAATCTAGCCGAAATCGATCGCGTTCTGAAGAAGGTTGCCGAAGGAGTTGAAACCTTTGAAGGAATTTTTGATAAAATTCAAGCAACTACTAATTCTAATCAAAAGGAAAAATTGGAGCAAGATCTGAAAAAGGAAATTAAGAAACTTCAAAGGCATCGAGATCAGATAAAAACATGGATATCTTCAAATGACATCAAGGATAAGCGTGCATTGATTGAAAACCGGCGTAAAATCGAACAGGTTCGAATTTAAAATTTTACAAAAACTTTATATTATGAATGTAATTTACTTACAATCTACACAAAATTTTATCAATTTAATTTTTTTTTGAATCAATATTATCTTTTGTCAAATGCAAATTTAATTCTGTAAAATTATGTTTTTATTTAGCAAATGGAAAAGTTCAAAGCTTGTGAAAAAGAAATGAAGACAAAAGCTTACTCCAAAGAAGGTCTACAGCAGTCGATAAAGATGGATCCTAAAG